CTCTTCTATAGCTTTTATAATTACGGTACAATAAAATATACTTATAATGTACCGTAGAATGATACTCGACAATACAATGGAATACGCGAAATTACGGACCCAATTACTGAGCCCTACAAATGTAAAACATTTTGTGGTTATACTCGTTTCCGATTCCTTAATAACCCCCCATTCTTTATTCATATTGAAATACAGATACTTATATATACACTTTCTGATGGATTTCGAAATGAGAAATATTTCACATACTAGATGTTGCCCGGGACTTCGTCTGTACATTTTTAATAGTTTAAATGACAAATAAGTGGCCATTGAATTCAAATCGCGAAGCTTTCGCTACACAGACATTTGTAGATGCGTAGGAATTTTTGAGTAGCAAAGAAAGTGAGTAGCAAACAATCGCAAAGAATTTAAAAAAAACTCCTTTCATAATAGTTAACAATTTTCATAAACAAAATTGACAAAAGATGAAAGAGAATTATAATAAAAGTTTATTAAAATCGTTTTTAATTTCGTTTCATTTTAAAAGAAGAAAATTAATTAAAAGGAAAGCAACTTGTTGACGCTCATTTCTTTACGAAGTCGAAATATAAAAGCGTGGCTAATTTATAAAAACATGGCTATTTGATTACAAAGACCCTGGTTTATTAAAAAAACTTTTGATTAATTATTTAATTAACTTAAATATATAGTTAACGAGCTGTTGCCCGCGACTTCGACCGCGTGGTATTAGAAAACATACAAACTATATAAATTACAAAAAGCTACGTATCCCTCGGAAACCGGACATTTCTCGGGGATGAAGCTTATCCCATGTGTACTCCAGACTTTGTTTTATATCTGTGCCAAATTTCAATAAGATATGTTGAACCGTTGCAGAATGATCGAGTAAACATTAAAAAACTAAATTAATGAATCCCACGGTAACTGTAACTATTCCAAGGATAAAAATTAGCCTATGTGTTCTTCCAGACTATGCTCTAAACCTGTGCCAAATTTCATGGAGATCCGTTCAGCTGTTTAGGCTACAAACACTAACAAACATCCATCCATCCTTCCATCCATCTATCCATCCATACATCCATCTAAACTTTCGCATTTATAATATTAGTAAGTAAGATTAGTAAGATTATGTAATTTTAATCGTAATTCAGAAAACGTTTGTAATAAAAAGTTTCAAATTCAAAACATATTTAGTTGGACCTCATTATATTCAAATGTTACTAAATAGCTTAATAATGAAATTTGGCTACGCATCTGTAATTACTGGTGTCTATGGGCAGCGGTCACTTCGCTTTTTCGGCGAATTTGTGGCTGCTCACTTGTTTGCTACATTATGACACAAAACAGCTATGATCGTTCACCTATTGTAAGTTATAATCATTTAAAAAACTAAAAGTCAATCCTCAACAAAGTCTATCGATACATAAATATCCATACTAAATATATTACTCTTTGTTGGGTAAAAAGACGAGTATAGGAAATCCTGAAACAAAGGTGATACATTCCTCTCAAGTTACTACACTTGACCTACTAAGTGAAGTACCCTTTGCAAGATTGTGGCATTTCCGATCAGCTGGCAAATGGTACAGTAACATCTTCAAGTTATCTCAAGTTTGTAACTTAACGATCTATGTTTTCGTGTATACGATAACGCATAAGTTTGAAATAGCAATAAAATGTAATAGATTTTAACTCTGAATAACTAATTTAAAAAATGTAACACTTTCTATGTCTTACTGATATCGTAAATCCGAAAGGTTAGATTTACAGCCTAAATGACTGAAGAGACCTAGATGAAATGTGTCATAGATGTAAAGCATAGTCTGGAAGATTGCATAGACTTTACTTTTGATTTTTTTAATTCCACGCGAACAGAATCGGCCGAAAGCTATAATACAATAATTTACAACCATAGATAGTAAAATTTCACATTGTTATTCTGTAAACTGAACTATAAATCATTCAAAAATAATAGTAATTGCGGGAAATAACCTAAAATATTTCAGTAAACGTCAACATTCTAACAAGCGAGTTAAAGGAATGCTATAAAATAAAGTGCAGCTCAGCTGGAGATTTGCTCGTAAAATCGTTAAGTTTATGTGAGAAGCCACTTGTTTACTGCCTACAAGTGTGGGTGTCAATTGTTAACATAAAAACTATGTGACGTCACATATTTTTCCTATAGTGTTACTTTATTAAGTAAACAACATGAAATTAAAATGTTTCTCTAACGGAAAAATACTGAAACGAATCAGAAATACTTCGCCCTTTAATTTGTAATTTGGAGTTTAAGAGTGATCTTATTTAATACGCTGTTAAATATTTAAATGACGTTTCAGTATTCGGCTGTAACACTGTTATTGTTAGTTTCTTGGTTAAGACTGTCTTATATTTGTGACATTTTATTTGTTACTAGCTTTCATCTGCGACTCAATCCGCGTGTTACAAAACAAAAGTTAGTAGTCTATGTGCTATCTAAGGTATAGACCCTTGGCCTATTCCAAATTTCATCAAAATCCGTTCAGCAGTTTAGGCTACAAACTCTAACAAACATCCATTCGCCGGAACTTTCGCATTTATAATATTAATAAGACAGATTATGGAACCATTAGGCAAAGTAACATTAATATTCAATAGCATCTTTTTACTGCAACTAATTTAAAAGAAACAGATCTATGTCCATATTCCATATGGACCACCCAAGATACAGCAACTGAATTTTATGAAAGCGACTGTCTACGGCATAACACCGAGCGGCGAACATAAAATGTTTATGAAGCTCTTGTAATAGCCACTACACCCGAAATGGACCCTTGGCATCACGTTTTATATCCCTACTGCACTAGTAATATTTAACCTTATTCTACGTACAACGCCATCTAGCGATTTTTTTAACATTCATTAATCATACTTAAAAAAAATTAAAAGAATTCACATTCATAAATTTTACTTGCCTTGCGGCCGAATATTCAAACATCAATTAATTATTAAAATTAAAAATATGTAATAAACAGCGTCATAATCGATAATGCCACGTTTAAACTCCAAATTCCTTACATATTACGTACCAGATTGTAAGTAACGCTTACGAAGCGATTTAAAAATTCGTTTCAGTATACGACCGTTATTTCTAAAAATTATTTAGCGTTCGCAGTCCGGGTTATTTACAAAAATAACAATTTATCTTTCTCAGTAGTATGGATTAGAGTTGATTTGCAAAATATCTTCTCGCAGATTCAATTCCGATTTAGATTGAATTATATCATAATTCCGAGCGCGGGTCAGACCCAGCTTTATGTATTTTCCGAATAAATCACTGACGACCTTTTTTCAATCACATTCCTTCACAGAATATTCCCATGAAGAAATATTTGATACTAGCATTCCGCCCACGATCCTATCCGCATGGAATTAAAAGAAAAACTATATAATTTTCAGCAGTTTACGATACAAGATATATCAAAACTTTTGGATTTATTATTTTAGTATAATTAGTAATATGACATTATCGTTTTATGCATTGAATTTATTTTAAAATCTAATCTACGCTACAATAAAAGGTGAACCGAACAAATTTGTGCAATGAAAAAATTGCGGTTACATCGAATTTTTAATTGTAAAATTATTTAATGAGTGTTCAATAAACTATTGTTTTGTCGTCATGAAATATCGGAGACTGACTTCAGTCGTATTACGTTTGTGAAGGCAAAAAACCCAGTGAATTTTCTTGATAGAAAGCAGTAAACTGTGGAGAATTACTAAAACAGTAAGATCAGATATTGAATTGGCTAACTGTTTTCATTGTCGAAACTTGTATAACAACATATATTCTTGAGATAGCAATGTTTTATACAAGTGCTGCAATGGAAACCAATGTTATTCGTGCGTAGAAAGTTTGTCGATGGTATGACGTCATATGTTATGACGTGTGAGAGTCATCGGCAATCATTCTGCGCGCGGCTAAAAACAGTAACACCTAACACGTCAAAATTGTTTGAATTTCTCCACTAACATTAGGTACTAACAAAATTCACCGATAGATGGCGGTATTTTAAATGGAGGATTTTATGTTTAGTTGTCGATGTACTTTTATTCGCTTATCTGTGTATTGTTTTTTATCTTCTTTACTTTTTAATTATTTTATGTACATAAGCGACTTAGTAAAGATTTTATTCTGTTACAAAATAGGATTTTTCCTAATTATTTTTTAATGTTGAACAGCAACAAAATTATGAAATTTGTGTATTCTAATCCGCGCTTAAAGAGCGACATCTCTCGGCAATAGTCTGTAACTATTAAAATTGAAATACCAGTGATGTTTTGATTTCCAAAGTGTGATATTTTCCAATCAATAATCACTACACGACTAAGCTTAACACAAATATCTTGTACTATTGTCTAACTGTATTCAAATATATTAAAAGCTAGCATTTTTATTTGAATAACTATCAAAGTCGTTTAGTAATTATTGATATCTTTTCGCGAAACTAACAAATAAAAGCCGATTGGCTAAATGTTTTAGACATACTCAGAAAATATGTTTTTGGGGTTAATTTTACAACATAATTATAATATTCATAAAAACGTTGAAAGAAAAAAAGAGCTATACGACTGAATCACTTTGTTCCTATTTACATGGTGCGTCGTTGTTATTATTTAGTCAATGGCAGGAGAAACAAATTTAAGGGCCTGTCCCACCACTGGCTGAATAAGGCTCGGATAGCTTAAAAATGACAGATAAAGGAACAAAATCCCTTATTTCCACCACATCATTTACACGGTGCATTATTATCAGACAATTTACAATTTAATGGGACAGACCCTAAATGTAGTAGACTACTATCCATATTATAAATTTCTTTACATTTTAAAACCCCTTGAAAGAAAAACTAAAGCATACTAATACAACTCCAGCGTTGCTCGTTTGTTTTTCAACGTCTGTCTGTCCTTTTCTATTGTCAATAACATAATAGAGTAATACCTTTTCTGCCTTCCAGATTATTCGAAGAGAATGAAGATCTTCTGCATATGTTCGAGAAGTTTCGTCAGTACAGGACTAAGGAGGAACAGATCAATTCCACGGAGCTCGCGGAGCATGCCAATAATGTGATGAACACGTTGGATGAAGGCATCAAAGGTTTGGACGATTTGGACAACTTCTTCGCGTACATACACCAAGTAGGCGCAAGCCATAGACGGATACCTGGTTTCAAAGTGGAATATTTTTGGGTAAGTTTACATATATTCTTTTATTTAGTCCATAAATAAAGCTATTGAATAAATGGTTCCAACTTATAGATTACCAAGGCTTTGTTAGCAGTTATAAATGTGAATGTTTAGATGGATGTTTGTTATTTGATAATTCCGCAATAATTCAACACATGTTAATAAAATTTTGCACAGATCAAGAATTATGTCTAATTATGTGCGTAGTTTTCCATCTTCTTTTAATTGACTCACTTCCCAAAAGAAGGAGGTACTCAATTCGTCTGTATGTTTTTTTTTGTGTGTTACGGCATAACTCCGCCGCTAATGGACCGATTTTGATAATTCTTTTTTTATCCGAAAGGTGTTGCTTGCAGGTGGGTTCCATTTTGTTTGATTTTTTCCGCGCAGTCAGGAGTAAAATCTTGTAGAAATATTAATTTACTTAGTTAACCATTATTAAATACTACAAGTATGTAACTTGTGTCAAATTGAATAAACAATATAAACTTAAGCTTAGGTACAAAATACGAGACAAGCGCTGTAAGTAAACTAATTAGATTCTCCTTTGTTCGTACTAACGTTAATGAGAAACAAACACTAACTTACTGTCTGTACTTACGAGTACATTAATAGTTAAATTGGTCAATTAATAAACATACTCTAGCAATATTTACATCATAGATAACTGTATTGTGCGGATTTTTTTGATACTTGTTAAGCTAGCGCTTGACCACGATCCCGCCTGAAAGAAGTGACGATGCAGTCGAAAGATGGTACGCGGTAGCTTAATAGGTAGCAGTTCACTCTCCTTTTGAAGGCCCCCACATCATTTCGGTGAACCTTCCGTTGTTACATTCCTTTAAGTCATGGACCTTCACATTAGCGTCATACCATAATC